GCCACTCCAAAACAGTAACATTACTTCCAATCAGAAGAAGCATGTTGGTAAGAAAAAAGGTTAACTTTAAACCTCACATAAATCTGCAATGGGTATGAATAATTTGAGGCTTAACTTTACCTTGCCAATTATAAAACAGCATTATTTTCTTAAAATTGATGGCTGACCACCCCCTATTTCTCACACTTTGACTGTTTTTAAAGCCAGAAATATTTCTGTAGGTGGTGCGGGGGGGAAGCACTGTGTTACACTATGCTCCATACAAAGATAAACACTTTTTTTGCACACCGTTTTAGACCCTGTGCACCCAAATATTCCTGCAGCCGCAATCTTTGGTCCTAAGTACATATGTTTATATCTGTATATGTTAATCTATCCATCGTCTATAACCACTTATCTATGCAGGGTCACAGGAGACTGGTGCCTATCTCCAGTGACATAGGCACTTTGCTGAAACTAAATGTTGATATTTTAATACACAAAATAAAAGAAAACAGTGTTGTGTAGCCTGTCAAAAAGATTTCTAAGGCTAAAAACCTTTCTGGAAAAAAGTTTATTGTGGATTAGAAAAGCTTTCTTATGTTTTGGCTTAGCTAAATAGCCTTCAGCAGAGTTAGAATGAAGCATGCCTTAAATGTTTCATCAACATTTGGCCTTTTTGCTTCCTATAAAAAGATTCTGAAAATGCTTACACAAATCCATTTTTTCCTCCTCTCAATTTGTTTACAAATGTGCGCTTTTCTGTTTGAGTGTTCATTGCCCCATTGTGCCTTTCCTTCACTCTTGACTAAAGGAAAATAACTATTTTTGGCAAGTGTTCCTAGATGAGGTAAATGCTGCCGGTTTTCAAGGTGTTTGTTTCAGCAAACTATAATTGTACTTTGTGGGAAAATTTAAAAAAGAAACTCAAGACTTTGAGCCTCTTAAATCTTTAGCCTTCTGCCACTTCTTAGCCTCCATGGTTTATATGCAAATGACATGTTCTGTGGGAAAAAGCAATGTACTTGAAATGTTGGAAAGTCTAACATTATGCTCGTATTCTGTGGGTGTTTTCTTATTTTTGGCTGTTGACTGGATGGAAATGAAAGCACTGCCAGGACATCTTCCTAAGGGATGAACTTGACTTATCTTACGTTTAGCATCTGTGTATAAGATGTTTGGAGGAAAAAAAAATGTTTTCATTTACTAGTTAGTTTATTAGTTTTATGCATATATTGTACATGGTTTAGTATAGTACTCAGAGTGTTTTCTAGTTATGCTGTCATTTAGTGTTTTCTCCTGCTGGAGCATGAATCTCTGCTGTCTTTTTCTACCTATAACAGATTTCCTTCCACGATGTATTAAGCTCCATCCAGCTTCCCATCAACTCTGACCAGCTTCTCTGTGTTTGCTTAATAAAAGCATCCCCTCACCATGACGCCGACACCACCATGTTTTATAATGTTGATGGACTTTAGGGGGATATGCAGTGTTAGCTTTAATGTACAGATAAGGTTTTCCATGTAGGTCAGAAAGCTTTGGTCTCACCTGACCACAGCACTTTCTTCTACATGTTCGCTGTGTCCCCTACATGACTTGTGGCAGCCTCCAAAGAGGCTTCACATGCCTTTCTTTGAACAATAGCTGATGTTGTTTGTTCATTAATGTTTTTCTAACAAACCTCTTCTTCACAGAACAGCTGCATTTATACTGAGAATAAATAAATCAAAGGCAGGTTCTATTTGCTAGTTAGGTGACTCTGAAGGCAATTGGTTGTAATGGATTCTGTTTAGGGGTGTGAGAGCAAAGAGGGCTGAACAAATGCACATCAAACCTTTGGGATTTTTAATAATATAAAGTTCTGATAACAGTAAGAAGAAAATAATACAAGAAAAAAATAATCTCACTAAAATATTTTGAAGGTTGGAGTTGTAATGTGACAAAAGAGGTTTCAATACTTCTGCAAGTTGGTGTAAGTAGCTCAAAGGTTTTAAAGGGTTAAGGAGTGTTTACAGCTTTCAGAAGTCAAATCGAATTTCAACATTAACTAATTTTGAAACTTACATTTCCTTTTTGGGGTAGAGCTACTTGCTTTGCTCTATAAAGGCATTTTGTAACAAAGAGATTACGTTATACTCATCTTCCTGAGTGTGCAGTAAATATGCATTTATGAAGATTTCTTTGAATAGTTTGCATCAAATTTGTCACCTGTTGTTAATTTCTTTTGCATATGTTTTGGATGGGTTTGCCTTCATTTCAGTGGATGGCAGTTTAAATAACAATTAGTTCTCAATGTTTAGTGAGCATGAATATATTTCTGATCCAAACCCAGCCCAAACCTTGAGTCTGCAGGCAGCAGTGGTCCCAGCTGCAAGTTACTGCTGCAGAGGCTTTCCACAGAGAAACAGCAGCATGACACAGCAGCAATATGAAATATAGAGCCAAAGTTTGTCACCAGCTAACTGTGGCAGTGACCCATTAATGCACACTGTGCAAGCATTAATTCTGATTACACAGCCTGCTCCAAGACTTTCAGAATCCATCTAATGTACCTTCTGTTTGTTAGATTTGATCCTCTGAACTCTGCATCTGCATCAGAAAAATGCAAGTTGTTCTGAATTTGTAAATAGATATTACCTCAGTTTCTGAGCAGCTTTTTGATGCAAGTAGTTTCAATTACCCTTTAAGACCATACAAAGTAGTTGCCTATACATCCAGCAAATCACACAGCTTTAGTTGATTTATGGTTCATAGAAAGTTGAGTTGATGTTTATTCTCAACCAAATTGCTGAACATAACTCAAAGTGGCGTATCTGGGTCTGCCTGCTAGGATATTCCGAAGCAGGGATTACATGAGCCGTGTACTATTTGTCCCTGACAGAAAGCACGTCAAACAATGGTGAGCATGTGTGACTTGTCAGGCCAGACACATATTTAGCCTCCTCTGTATGCGCGCTCCTTCGCCAAGCATCGACTGGCAGGTTTTAGTGGCCCTGATTTAATTCACTTTCTCCTCGTCTTCCTTCATCCCTATTTTATATCCCCTCCAATTAAAAATGCACCACGTTGACTTGTAAAAAGAAGGTGGGAATGGAGGTTAGGGCTTTTCAAAAAATCCCTCTCAATTATTCAAAGCCAAGTTTGATTCAGAAAACGGAGGATGATTAATAAGTCATATAGAAGTTTTCGAGGGTTTGGGTGACAAACCTAATTTCGGAGGATCGGTTGAAGCATCAATCCAAAAAAAAAAAAAAAAAAGTTTGTTTTATATTCGGCTTGACAAGTTTTAACTCCCAGAGTGAGAATCACACATATAAACATACTTTTTTTAATTCATAAAAATGTTTAAAGGGAATGCCTTTTGTTTTAACTTTGCTAAGAACATTTATAAAAAACACTGAATTACGTTATAAATATTTTATGTTTATGGGAAGACATTGTCCTATTTTCCTGCCTCCATAACTATGTGTAGCATTCTTGTCTTATTTCGTTGAACTTTATATTCTTTTTCATTTAGTTTTAGAAATGGATTATTTTCATTAGTAATTTTTTTCAGAACACCCTTACATGTAGTACACTCTCCTAATTATTGTACCTGTTTATTTTTAGACATTGTCCCATTTTTCCTACCTTCAGAACTGTCTGTGGCATACTTGATTCATATGGGTTGGTATAGTTTAATTGTCATTGTTATTTAAAAAGGAATGTTTTTCGTTAACACTTTGTGATGAGCAGTTCAGATTTTTAAATATTATTCATATTTATGGGTTAACAATGACCCATTTTTTTTCTTTTGTATATAGAATACTTGTTCAGTTTAATTAAATATAATTTTATAGATTTTTTATCATTTAAAAAGCAATAATTTTGTTATCACTTTGTTCAGAACACCAATAATGCACCAAAAATGCACTTTTAAATATTGTACATGTTTATGGAAAGACATTGTGCTTTTTTTCTTTGTCCAATACTGTGCATTTTTGCCTTCAGATATAACAAATGAAGTCATGTTGGCATAACACTGAGGAAAAGAACATAAAGGCTTTATGCTGTCCTGCTGGTTGGTTAGCAGATAGAGCAAAACATATCACTGCAGAGGGAGATGGTGCAAGAGAGCATAAAACGACAAAAAGCTCAAGACAGAGAGAGAGCAGGAGAAAAGGAAAAAGACTTACAGAGTTGCTAAAACATGGATGATGTAAGAGAATGCATGAAAAAAGGCAAGGGGGATCCATAGAGGAGTGTTTGGGTGGGGGCTGCACACAAAGACAGACAGAGAATATCAAGAGGCAGAGTGATATAAAAAAGATAAAGCTGAGACAGTAAAGAGAGACTAAAAATGGAGGAAAGCAGAGATTGTCCAATGTGAGGTACAGAGTGAGTCAAAGGAATTAAAAGACGGTGGTTGGGGCTGAAAGCAAAGCGACGGGTGTAGATAGAAGTAGAAGAGTGAGGGACTCCCAAAGACAGATGTTGCCGTCTGTGGCCCCAGTAGATTGATAGCTTCTGGCCCGCTTCCATGCCAAGCTCTGACCTCTCTGTCCTCTGTTGTAATTTATCGGCAGCGTTTTTCCAGATTTAAGCACCAATCTGTGGCCATCATGGCTTGAGAGGGGAGAATGACCTTCCTGAGATGGGAGCAGAATTAGACTCCCGCAGCTCCCAGCTGCCCCATGGGTAAATAAACAAGTGCCCTCTATATCTGACAACATGTTAATGGGACAGCTCTTACTGTATCCTTGTTATACTCGAGTTTACACATTTCGTCACATATCTTCCCTTTTTCCATGTCAAGTAGACCAGAATGTAAATGCTGAGCTCCAGTTTGTTTATGTTTCTATGTTGACAGACAGAAAGCAAGAAGGTGATCCCCTATTTCTACTTTTAAGCTTCTAAATCTTTTTTGTCGAACATCACTGCACTTGTAAAACTAACAATAATAATGTCTTTATTTTACATGCATGTTCTTTGGTTATACATTCAATATTTTTTGATCAATCAAAACACACAAAATGGGTGCAGCGCTGGTGGTGTAGGGGTTAAGCACACGACCATATATGGAGACTATAATCCTCGATGTGGCCATCCTGGGTTCAAGTCCCAGACCTGGCGACCTTGGCCGAATGTCTTCCCCTCTCTCTCTGCCCATCTTTCATGTCTGCCTACTGTCGAAAAAAATCAAGGCTTCTAGTGCTGAAAACAATATCCTTAAAAACAAACTAAATATTTCAATTGGTTTTGATAAATCCTTACTGAAATGGCAAAAAAATCTATTCTAACGAGGTGGCATGTAAACATTTTCCCTCACAACCACAGCTAAGATGTGCCGTCCATTGGCAACAACTGGCTCAAAGCAAAAAACTCAGTTGACTGTTAAGTCGGTTAGTATTAATACTTAGCTGAACTACATAAGGCAAAGACAATTTAAATTCTCCAACACAGTAACTTTCTAAGTCATAACTAATGATGGTTCTTGCCCTTCGTAGTGCTTATATATTTGATAACAAAGCAATCCGTATAAATATATCGGTCTTACTGTTTTCTGCTGGACACCCCACACAACCAATTAAAGACTAACTGCTGACTAAACGAAGGTCTTCAGTTAAATTAGTATCAAAATGTTTAGGTAGGATTTTTTTTTACCAAAATAAAGTAGGTAATGTTAATTAAACCATTACTGAACATAATACAAGCTGCCATGCTGTATTCAGATTTAAATAATCTTAATAACTAATCTTATTGTGTGTTTGTTGGCACAGAAGGCAATAATAGAAGCTTCTAATACCAAATGCCCACATGACATGACTCTTCAGTGCATTTCTCCATTGGTAGGTATACTAAGTTAACGTAAACAGAACTTTCAATTTGTAGAAATGACCCTGACTTTGGAATTAAGCTAGCTACCAGGTTGCCTACTATGATGTCTGTAAATATTTTTTTGTATTTGAGATAGACCTGATGTGTCATCAGGGAGCAACCACAAAAGGTCATAATCAACTCTCTGGATAATCTTTGAAAAAATGCCAAACGCTAAAAACAAATTTGCAAAAAGAAATTTAAATACTTTAACATGTAACAGTGTTGAAAAATGCCACCTATATTCACAACTAACTAAACTCTCATTCATTCATGATAATGAGTAAATGCATTTCCCTCTCCTACTGCCACCTATACACAGCTGTTTAGCAAAACTTACTAAATAGCTATCAATTACCCATAATTCACTGCAGTGTAATATTTGTGAGGTATTTGCACAGGCACACACATCTGCGCTTTACTATCTTTATGAGAACTTTTCAGTTATTTCCACTGACTTCCATTCTCTGACCCTAAACCTGATCCTAACCAGTTCATACCTAACTCTAACCTTAACCATAGCTCAATTCAACAACAGAGTGTCTTCAGTCAGAGGCTTCTTCAGATGTGCTGTAAGACAGAGCGCTACAGGAGATCCTTCCTGCCCACAGCAACCAGCATCTACAACGGCTCTTTGAAGAAACCTACATAATGAGCTACAACAACATTTAATTTCCCTTTGGGATTAATAGTATTTTTGAATTTGAATTTGAATTGAATTCATACCCTAGTCCTAAACCTAACCCCTGTCCCAAGAATGGAATTTCACAAAATAAGTACCAGGAAAATGCCCTCACTTTGTCAAAATGTCCTCACTTTGCAGTAAACGTACAAAAAGGGTTCTCAGTCAGCAGCAAGTACAAGAACACACACACACACACACACACACACACACACACACACATACTGTAGGTAGGTACAAAGCTCCAAAAACAATATGGTAAAAGTGAGATGCCCCCATGCTTGGTCTTCACAGAATTTACTGAGGCCTTCTCTACTCACTAATGTACACCAAGACACTGTAGGTTTCTTTTTCTTCATTCAATCTGCCTTAATCAGCATCAAAACTATCCTCTACATCAACCCTGTGCGTGTGTATTTGTGCATTTAAGTTCTATGTGGTTTCAATTTCCACTTAGGACAGTTGACTTTGAGGAAATATGACTGATTATGACCCAATTTAAATCAAAATAACCATGATCAACTTTTTACCTGTAGAAATAGGAACATATAACCACATTTCCTTTCAGTAAACTGAGTACTCTATCATACGTTGTCAAAGTGGGGACAAAACATTGAAATGTCCCATTACAGACGGCTTCTTCTTGGGTAAAAAAAACTACAAAAGTATCATATTGCAACATTACTGGTACCCATCTGAAAAATATATACATTTGCATAAAGTATTAATTATGTGTTTGTTATTACTGACTATCTATCCCTAGCTAGTGTCCATTAATAGCTTAACACCTAAAGAAGATTGAAAACAAGCTTTTACTTCAATTACAAGTAAATCCTGACTGAGACCTGACCATAATTACTTGGACCAAAGAATCCAATGTGCTTTTTAAGCGAAGACATTTGTACCTCAAGATCAAGAATTAATGGTTTATAGATTTTTGAATACATGACAGAGTTCTTGTTAAACATAGCAACAACAAAAATCAGACATATTTATCTCTACTAAATATGTTTCCTTTATTCTTCTCGTTTTGCAATTATTTAATGAAGTCAGTGGTTTACTTATAATGCTATTTTATTTATTTTAGAATCAATTTATTTAACCCCCTGTATTTTGTTATACAGTAATGTGCAAACATTTTAGGCAGGTGTGAAAAATGCTGTAAACAAAGAATGCTTTCAAAAATGTGTTAATCATTTATTTTCATCAATCAACAAAATGATGTGAATGAAAATAGAAATCTAAATCAAATCAATATTTGGTGTGACCACCCTTTGCCTTTAAAACAACATCAATTCTTCTAGGTACACTTGCACACAGTTTTTGAAGGAACTCAGCTGGTCGGTTGTTCCAAACATCTTGGAGAACTAACCACAGATCTTCTGTGGATGTAGGCTTTCTCACATCCTTCTGTCTCTTCATGTAATCCCAGACACACTCCATGATGTTGAGATCAGGGCTCTGTGGGGGCCATACCATCACTTCCAGTAAGTCTTGTTCTTCTTTACTCTAAAGATAGTTCTTAATGACTTTGGCTGTATGTTTCGGTTTGCTCACTTAGCATTAAAATAATGAAAGTAAACAATCATCATTAATATTTCTGAAAGCATTCTTTGTTTATTGCTTTTTTTCACACCTGCCTAAAACGTTTGCACAGTACTGTATATATAAGATTTAGTTTTTCAAAAAAATGTAATTTATATCCATGTTACACCATGTTTTGACTTAAGGTATCAATCAATTACAAAAACCTCAATTAAAAACTTCTTCCGTCCTGCTGATCTGCAGTCTTCTGAGTAGCATCTTTCAAGCTCTACTTTACTGATAAATCTGCTCTTGTTGCTTAATGCATGATCAGATCCTCTCAATATAAATCAGAAGGAAACCTTAAACTGCGTTGAATTTAAAATAAAGATGAGTTGTGTATGTTTGAAGGGTCCAAAAGACTAAGTTGGCTGAGTAGCTGCTGTGCTCAGCTGGGTTCACACTTGGCCATTCAGAGTATTACCTCACTCTACAAATCAGCCCGGGGAATTATCTGGACAGAAAGTCTTCAGCAAATTATTTCAGACTTACAATTTAATGGCTTTGGAGATCTCTCCCAGTCTCAAACAGGTTTCCAGTGACACAGAGGTGATTAGTTTGGACCTTTAATCACAAAGCAGCAGGTGGCAACCAGGCCAAAACTGTACATACCCTGCTTTAGGTGGTGTGAAAAGGTTTCACTGTGTGCCGTGTTGCTGTGAGTGTCTGTGTAGATTGATCATCCACCACATGAAAGCACAAAAGCCAGAAATAATTTGCCATAAAAGTAAACAGAAGTCCATTTCCCAAAGCACATCCTGCAGAAAATACGAAAGCAGCATTAGTTTCATCCACCTAGTGCTGTATTTGAGTTTAGAATGTGAAACACCCTGTAGCATTATTGGAAACTTATTATAGATATGAACAAAATGCTTATTGTTGTTATAGAGACTTGGTGACCTCAAGATTAAACACTTTGTGAAAAGAGAAAGTTGGGTCCTTGTCTACATTTCTTTGTCACAATTCTGCTTGCTTTAAAGATTTTAAATAATGCTCCAATTCTAGATATGGCCAAGTTTAGGTAAGTAGCTATTTCCTAGTAGTCTTAACCAGGCTGAAATTGTATGGGGTCCAAAAGAGAACCCCGCTTATTAGGGTTGTCACAATACTAAAAATTTCAAACCCAATACTAAGAAAATCCCTGATATTCAATACCGTTTTCGATACCACGGTAATACTTTTTGAAGACACGGGATTCTTTCTAGTTAAGAACACAAAATAGGATTAAGTACGATATGACAATGTTTTAAAATAAAATTTGAAAAAATTATAAAAAGTATATCATTTAAAAGTGTCATTTCCTATTTGGCAAAACAGTAGACAAGATAACAGTATAAGTATAGTATAAGTGTTTATAAATGAGTTTATAAATGAGTGTACATTTGATTCAGTCTTGCAATAATTTTAATAATTGCTTATTTTTAGTGTGCCACTGTGTGCTTTCATTTAGCTGTAAATTTACTGCTACTACTGACTGACAAATGAAAGATCATGCTAATCTAAAATAAGTTGTGTTTCAAAACTAACAAATACAAAACATATTTCTACAGTATAAACAAGGATCCGGTCCATGCAAATGTATTCAGCTGCAGCCCTGTACAATTTCTGCCTATCTGGTAACTTTGCATAATAATTTCTTTAATGATCAACTACAACAACAGGGCAGGTTGCTACGGGTTCCTACTTTTTTCTGCTTCAATTGTCTGCTTCAGTCTGGCTTCACCATTTGCCTTTACAACTAAACTGAGGAGTAAAGGAGGGATTCTTTCGTTGCTTCACAATTTAGTAACCGACTGAGCAGTCAGCCGATTAACATTTTCCTGCATTTCCTGCGTAGAATGAAGCATTGCTGTGGTTCAGAACTGCACAGTTGGAAGTGCATCTCGGCCGGAGAGCACAGACCGACAGAGCACCATCACTGGGCTGTCCTTGTTATGAGTCTAATATTTAAAACAGATACTATTAGCTCATGATGTTCTGGAGGTTTACTACTT